TCCTCTTATCACTGCTTTTAATGTGTCCCATATGTTTTGGAGACTTGTGTCGTCATTGTCATTCTTCTCCAAGTATTTTCTAATTTCTTCTTTGATCTCCTCATTGATCCAATAGTCTTCCAGTAATGTGGGTTTTAGTCTCCTGCTTTAACATTTTTATAGTTTTCATTATGCAGGTCTGTCACCTCCTTTGTTAAGTTTATTCCAGGAATTTCATTCTTTTGGCATGATTATAATTAGATCTGCATTCCTTATTTCCATTTCTGCTGATACATTTTTTATATAGAAGTGCCACTGATTTTTGTGTATTTATTTTGTATCCTTCCACCTTACTGTATGCATTTACACATACACATACAGTATGCATTTGTGTGCTGTATCTATTGTACGCATTGTATGTATGCATGCATACAAATGCATTCTGTATGTATTTATACTGTATGCAATCTTTTGATATCTAATTATATTTGCAGTTCATCTGTGAATTGTGACAATTTAACTTCTTTTCCAGTTTGGACTCCTTTTATGTCTTTTTCTTGCCTGACTGGTTCAGCTAGGACTTCTAAGACTATGTTGAATAACAATATGATAGTAGATATCCCTGTCCTGTTCCTGATCTTAGTGGAAATGCTTTCAGCTTTACCATTGAATATGATATTGACTGTGGATTTGTCATATACAGTTTTTATAATACTTAGGTAGGCTCCCTTTACTTCCATTTTTAAGGGTTTTAACCATAAATGGATATTGAAATTTATTGAATGCTTCTTTGCCATTTATTGAGATGATTATGTGGTTTTTAATCTTCCTTTTTGTTGATAAGACAGATAAATTGATTGAGCCAGTTTTGCATCCCTCTTGAACTTCACTTTACAGCCATAGTAAATTAAATTTTTTTGTCTTTTCACAAATGTCTCACAGCAATAAATGGATACATGTATGGAAATCTACCTGGATTGGATATGTGCTTAGGTGACAATGTTATATGGCACATCCTTAGTGTGGGATCAGAGAAAGACTTACATGGGATATACTTTTCAGGAAATACTTTCATCTCCAAAGGAGCAAGGAAAGACACTATTGCTATGTTTCCCCACACTTCCCAAACACTATCTATGACAGTTGATTCCACAGGTAAGTAGTGAATATTCTCCTTCATTCTGACACATGCCCAAAATATGAAAAAGTAGTGTCATTATATGCATTTGTCTGTGCATACAGAACAAAACTTACATATACACTTATAATGTGGAACTTATTTAAATAGACAAAAAAAAAAAACTTTTGTCCTATTCTATTTAATTACAGGAACATTAGTAGTTTATTAGTATACAGTGTAGTATTTATAATATGGTATATTGTAGTATAGTATAAGATAATGTAGTGCATTATAGAGTTGTAAAATATAGTAGTACATATTACCACACAGAATTCCCCCTCAGCCTCTCCTGGTTTTCTCTCTATGAACCCCAAGCCCTAAGTTTCCAACTTTAGTCCTCAAAAGCAAAGAAGATGCTTTAAAATAATTTAGCTTATAATCATTATATTTTGCCTGAATTTCTTACTCTTCAGTCCATTTGTTTTTTAGGTCTTCCTCTTGCTGTTATTTTGCCCTACTCTTTTCTGTCTTCCTCTCTCCAGTCCTCTTCTTGATAGCCTTACTCGCTAGGTAAATGTTTTAACTTCAGGGAGGTTGATTTCTGCTGGAAAAATTTTTTTCAAAAGCATCCCATATCAGAGAATTGTTGTGAGAATCAGAAGAGTTTCCCCTCCCCTTTGAACCTAATTACTTCATTTTCAAATGGGTAGTGTAATAATTTATAATCGACAGAAATGAATAGATAATGATGAGGTGAGATAAATATTAGTTTTTTGTTTCCTTTTATCCTGAAGATTCACCTTCACCAAAAAAATAAAAATTCCACTCCATCTTGACCAAAAACTACTGGTGCCGATCAAATACTGACCACACAATAAACTAGCTAATCTATAAACATCATATATTGGTATGGTAACTCTTTGTGATAAACAAAATCATTTCACTGTTTTCTATTTTTTTTAATTATTAATCTCACGGTTCAAACAAAACTTGTGACGAAGAGAAATTGGAGGGAAAAAGAGTCTATCCTGACCCTTTTTCTTCTCTTCCATACGTATTCACTCAGTGACAAGTTATTCCTTGTCCCTGCTACCTTCTTCTTTCCCTTGTGTTGTTTTCTAGAATTTAAAAACTTTTTCCTTGTTTTTGACTTTTTTCATAAACGGTATCAGCTCAGTAACATGTGAAAGTGACAACTCCAGGTCCAGCGCTGTACTACACAGATATCTCATTTTATAGATTCTCTTTCCCAAATCCATGGGTCTGAAGATTTTACTTCCTCATCACTCTTTTTGAATCTTGACTCCACAAAAAGTAACAGCAGCTGAAGAAATATGTGCAGAATTGAAAGAGTATTTGTGTTGGTTAAGGAACAGTGTCAAGACGTCACAGGCATAAAATCATCAAAATTAAAGATAGAACTAGAATTTAAGAGGAATTCGAAAGGTCTGAACCAGGCTTGAGTTTTTTATTTTGGGGGTTGAGTGTTTTGTTGTTGCTATGGTGATTTGTTTTGGTTGTGGATATT